GACGTAGCCCTTCAGGATGCCGGAAACAGGGCCGCGATTCCGCCGGAAGTTTCTGATGCAGGTCACCAGCACCGCCGTGTTCATCCAGGTGGTGCTGTTTCCGCCCATACACAGAAAGATGCACATCTGCGTCCACCATTTTTTCTCACTAAATTAAATTAACCAAAAACAAAATCACACATTCGCAAAACAGAGCTGCAGAGAACAGTTCTCAAACAGCGAAAAAAGAGAAAGACTACTTTATTTTTTTCAAAAAAAAACTATAATATATTCTTGATGGTAGTTTTACATTTACGCCACCAAATGGCCAAACTGGGTTAAAGAAAGTCGAGGGCGAAATATGTAATTTAAGTTTGGTGTTTACCTGCCAATAAGGGAGTGGGCTAATTCTCTGGCTGACGACGAGCCACTGAGCGCCGTAGCCGAGGAGGCCTTCGAGGGATCCGATGAGCAAGATGAGCCACGTGGGGAACCGGTCGGAGGCAAGTCCGGCGAGAATTCCGAAGGCCTTGCCGACGTCTTTGGCGACGGAGAGATTGTTGAGCTGGAGCTGGGTTAGGTTCATGAGAGTCTTGACGGCGTCGGAGTAGTTGGAGAAGGTGTAGTTGTTGCCGGAAATGGCCTGAACCCAGACGGCGGAGACGAACCCCACCCATTTCAGCGCCGTCGACGGAGGGAGCTTCACAGATCCCATTAAAAATGCACACAGAGAAATTAAGTTTAAGTTTGGAATTTGGATGGTTGAGCGAAAGGGTGCTATCGAGTCTTTTAAACACGGAAGAGTTGCCACTTTGAAAACGTCGCAATTCACGCTAATAATGCCTTTTTGTCGCTGTGAAAGTTAAAAAATTATGAATTTGAATCAATCTGATGTTTTATTACAATAATATAAATTATTAAATTGAAATTTCAATTGCTGCTTGTCCTTTTTGCTTTTTGCTTTTTGCTTTTTTTTTTTGTGCTATCTTTCTCAAAGACCGCATACATCATACAGGGTTCACCTTAAGTATGACATCTCGGATCCAACCCAGATGGTCCCCTCCCATTTCAATTAATAATCCCAATTACATGTTTTTGCCTTGAGTAAATATTGTTTTTATTGACTTTTCATTTTCATCACTATACTTTTAAAATTTGTAAATAGGTATTACTTGATCGCTTTTTAAACTTAAAATAACTAAAAACTTGCATTTTAAAAGTACGGATAGTAAAAGGAACAAAATTTGGAAATATTAAGACCAAAATGAACCAAAACCGAAATTACATGGAACGAAATAGTGTTTAAATTTAAATTAAATGACAAGTTTAATCTATTAATTTTTCAGTCGTCTATTTAGTCTTTATAGTCTAAAATATTTTTAATAGGTCTCCACGTTAATTGTATTATTCTATAATTACGTGGCATACTAGTTTCAAATATGTTTGTGGGTTTAGAGGTTGTTGGGGTTGAATCATCAAATGCCACCTATTGACATTAGAATACGTAAGAAGTTATTGTTCACTCATATGAAGAGAATAACGTAACTAGGCACAACATCTGTCACTCTAACAATTCCCGATAATTTGGCATGTGATGTCAAGCCGACTCAAATCTTACCTCACGGCCGACCATCTCTGTGGACGAGTTGATTTCCAAGAACATTTGTAGGTGCAAACTTCTAATAGAATCTTAGACAACGATCCATAATTCTTGTAGCTATCAAAAAATCATCGTAGCATTGTTGGAGATCCTGTCGGAAGCTAAACCATTCTCTCTCGATCAGGCAATTACTAACTTAAGTGTCAAATCTGTTTCTCTCCTTTATGGGTCCCTCCGTTCGTCCATACCATCAATTCAAGCTTCACTACAGACCTTATCAATCTTTTGATCAAAATAGGAATAATCCTTAAACCCAACGATCACAGAATTTTTAACCAGGAACCATATAGACACATTCTTTAAAATTTAAAAATCTATTTGAAATTTTATATATTTAGGGATGGAATTGAAACAAGAGGAAGATTGAAATTCATAGGAATTGGCCGTGTTTGAACTCCAATGTCAAAGTTTGTTAAAGAGGGTTTTATGACCAAATTTGGATCCGCAGCATTAATTAATTACGAAACAAAATAGTATAGGCAAGATGCATGAGGTTAGTTTAGACCTTTTAAGTTTAGATTAAAAAACCTTAACTTTGAAATTTTTGAAAGAACCCTTTTCATAAACATAAATGTATATGCTAATATTTTTGTATTGCACGCCGTTTGTTTTTCCGCCAAAGGAAAAAACGGATGCGTTCAGTTAAATTTCTATTGAATTTTTAGAACATTTTCTAATTTTGCATAAAAAACTAAAAAAGGGAAAAAAAAAGAATAATCTGATATATTAGAAGGAAAGAGCGTAAAGATAATAATAAAGCAAGAGAATGATAGACTTAAATGGAGTGGAGGTTGACAAAACGTTACTCACAAGTCTTAAACGTTGGGTTGCTCAAGCAAACTTTATTTTTAAATTTCAACTTTCATTTTTCTAAAAATAAATAAATGAAGCAAATTGTGTTGTTGTGGGGCCCGCCGAAAGGGGAAGTTGATATTTGGAGATCTAAGTTGCAGAGTTTTGCAGGCAACACAAAACCACGTCGTTTCAATTTTTATTTTAATTTCGAGAGAGTTATCAAATTAATATATTATTATTATATATCATGCATGTATAAAGTAAAAATAGCATATTTTTAGATTTTTCGCAAAGGACATATCTTTAGATTTATAAAAACAAAATGATAAGTCGCTATATTTTACAGTAAGCCATGTTTAGAAATTTACTTAATTCTACCATTTCTATAAAAGTACTAACATATCTAGAAATATATTATTTTGATATATCGTTGAGTAAAATTTTTATTTATTTTTCAAGAAAAAATTGTCTCCAAATTATAAAGTTGCTATAATCACACTTTTTACTCCTCTAAAAGTACAAAACTGTTGCAATAAAATATCACTGTTATAGCTCTATTAAAAGTTAGGTTTAAGTGCCAAATTTCATCAATTTAAAGATCTAATATAACATTCCTATAATTAAGGAGTGATTATATTTAGAGTCTATAAGATATTATTTTATTATATAGATTGTACAAATAATAATTGATAGCCCTGGACAAATTCAGATGACCCGTGTGCCATTTTCAGAGTCTTGTTTTGAATCATTTTGGCAGTTTCCCCAATTATTTATCTATATATTTTTTATTATATAAATTTCAAGAATTCCTTAGGAACTATAAAAAATAAAATAAAAACAATACTCTTTTTCTGAATTGCAGCAGGATTTTAGCCCCACCGTACCTTAAGGGGCAAAATAGTATTTTCGGCTATATCAACTTTCCTCTGAGGCCTTAAAATGATTCCCATGGCATTAATAGCATGAATCAAAAGGTCACAATGTTTTATTTTCCTTCCCGAAAATAAATTTATAAAAACAGCTTAGCTTCATTAAAATCTTTATCAAACCTTAGAAACTTTATAATATTTTCCTCTTTCTTTCCATATTTTATCTCAACACTTTATATTGTATACTTCAATTGATTCATGGTTGCATTTATCATGTGCATAATAATTTATCCTTTCTTCTCAAATTCAAAAGTTTAATGGGTTTTTTGGCATTTTAGTCAAATATTAGGTAAAAGCAAAAAATAAAAAATAAGCAAGTTGATTGAGAATGAGAATGTTGATTACCCTTCCAAAGTAGAGATATTTAGGAATGAGATTAAGATAATAAAGAGTGGGACTCCAAAATCTTTCTTATTCCACGCGTGTTCAAATTAATAAAATATCTCTCTCTCAAAACTTTATTTTCTTTGCTTTTTTATGCCCTTTTCATTATTACAAAGAAACAAAATAAAATAAAATTGGACTCTTGACTATTTAACCAATTTCCTCTTTACTCTCAATCAATCTAATCAAAACCATAAATTTCAGGGCCCTCTTATTTATTATTTATACATGGTTTATTAGTTGTTTCTTTTTTTTTTTCCCTAATCTAGCTAGTTCACTTTTGTTTGTGATATCCACGAGTTATCTTACGCGTACATTAACTAATTTTCAGGACAATCGTCTCACACTACAATATTTGGTATTGGAAAACATATAGTAATTACTAATTTTTAAGGTAGGTGGTCATTATTGGTTTGAACTCATTCTCTCTTAATTAACTCTAATGAGCTCACTTTCATAATTGTTGTTTTTAAATTACTGCTAAATTTCAAAAAAAAAAAAAAAAAAAACTTATCTTTGTTTGTTACTAAAAATTTGTAAAGATTTCAAAGATATCATACATATAGGGTATGGTTGTTCAATGAAAATTTATACTTTCAATTAATTAAGTTATTAATGACATTAATGTGGTCGAGACTATATCATAAGAAAGAGTGATAAATGTAGAAAGGGAGAGAGAGAAAAAAAAGAGCGAACATAAAAAGGAGGAGCAAATTATAGTAATTTTTATTTACTCTTATTCCTTTTGTAAATGTTTTTTAATTGATGACATCTCTTGAATATAAAACAGAACACGTAGCTCCATAGCGGAACTAGTGATTGGCTCCAGGTTTCTTTCCTATCGGACCAGACTTCCATAGGTCCTTGGTTATCCCTCCTAATGAGAATTGAGTCCCTTGCACGGGCTGGCGTCGAATTATTTTTCCGCATGATCTTCCCTACAATATCATCACCACAGTAGAGTATGAACCATATTATCATATTTGGGACTCTTCTTATCTTCAACGGATATATCTCATCACGAACTTGAGAGTATAGTTCAACTGATTAAGTTATATATATCTTTCGACAAAAAGTTTGAATCTTAAACATTGTTTTTTCCTTATGATCCTTGCCAGCCTTCTTCGGGTAGGGTCTTTTGCTTTCCTTATTTTCTTCACACCCCTCTCCAACAATATCAATTATTTTTACTTTTTGACCTCTCAAACTTTTCTCTCGTGTTTATTAAGGAAAGTCTCGGATGATATTTATTATACTTGCAGCCTACTTTGAACAAACATTCTCTCCATGTCCTTTCTTGTGTTTCTTTCTTGCTTCGTTTTTTGTTCTTCTCATGCACCTTTAACATCATTTGTCATGACGATAAAGTTTAATGGTTAAAAGACAAAATAAATAAAAGAGTAAAAATGAAAGGGATGGGAGGGGTGGCCGCATTGTGTCGTAGTAAATAATCTAAATACACGATCATGAGATGAAGTACAAATGTATGGTTAAGAAAAAATAGTTTTGTATCTCAAACTTGAACATCATTCAATTAGCTAAACTATATAGGATCTTCAACTAAAAAATTAGAAGTTCGAATCTCGAGTTTGATAAGAAATATTTTCGTACGAATGCGTAGAGTCCACCCATAATTGAACACGTGCTACCTTTTTTTTTCACCAATATTTCCAGCCTGTATTTGTCCTCTACTAACCCATCAAAGTTTGTCCTTTCCGGATTCCATAATCCATCACAGACAAACACAATTCATTACATTTTTTTCCTTTTTCATTTTCATGATCTCATCTCAATTAATTTCTTTCTTGTAATTTTGTGACACAAGAAAATTATATTTTATGGACATATTTTTTCATAAAGATTTCAAATTAGAATGACAGGTGAAATGTGATAATTAATAATGATGAAAAGAGCGAAAAGTAAACTAAGTATGTTTCATCGTGTTGTATCTTGTTTTCAATTTTTCTTCACACCACTTGTTGAATGACATGGTACGCAATTTTCTTGAGGAGGGAGTAGACTCAATTATTCCC